TTTAAAACCCACAATTTTTACGGTGAAGTTCTGGCAACCACAGCTGCCGGTATTTTACAGTAAATGTCACAGATTTTTTTTTACAGTGTGCCAACAGTGTAACTTTTAGATGGTAAAACTCTTTAAATTCATGCCCTTTTAAGCAACACAACCTCAGTCATTAAATCAGAACTTTTGCAACAAATTTACCACCGTCAACAATACATTTCAAGACAATTACAGTCAGACTTCATACCACCTGCTGAGAGCAATGTTCCTATTGTGCATAATCTATACACCTCCGTTTGTTTTTGAGGACTATTATGGTTTTGTGCAATAAAAGGTTATACTCAGTTAGTCATTAATAGTCACAGAAGGGTGCAAATCCCCTAGCATTTAAAAGTCTGGGGTCTTTTTTTTTTTTAATACTTCTGTTCAGCAAGAATGCATTAAGTGCTGTTCTTTTGAACATCCTATTTTTAGACTGGAGTAACGGTTGTCATCAGAGTAATAAATAATATGTTATTATTTTTATTGTATTATTATTAATAATAATGCATTTTCACAATATTACAGTTTTAGATCCAGCCTTGGCAAGCAAAAAAGACTTTCAAAAACATTAGCAAAAAATCTTGCCAGCTCCAAACTTTTGAAAGTTCTTGGTGGACGCTGAACAAGCCTAATTACACAAAGCTTTCCAAGATGACTAGTTGTTCTGACAACCTACTGACGACTTGATTTAGTTGTGTGTACGTTTCACAAATGTGATTAAGGATCAAAGATCACTTAGTATCCAAAACATACACCACCCAAATGTTTAATTGGAAAACATATGATAGTAGGTTTGAGATTTATTCCATTGGCTAACATCTTATGGGGAACATGTGAACCAAACTTGGCGTTATTTATGTCAAGGTTTATTGCACCTTGCAGTGCTGGTAAAATAAGATCAGAAATAACATGCAACTCCATGCAAGCGGTCCTGGAGATCAATCAGAGTTTTCCTGCACACGCAAAGGTCTCGCACGCAAAGTCAAGCCACTGGGCCATGTGACGTCATGTGCTCAAGAGAAAAACCACAGACCTTCAGCTCTTCTGACAGCTTCTTCACGGACAACACACATATACTTAAAACAGTAGTGATTGATTGAGAAATGTTTAATTCAAACAGAACTGAAAGATTCAGTTAGCTTATATCCACCCCACTGAAGAGAAGAAAACCTTACTTAAAAACATAAGATATAAAATTTAGAAACAGAAAGACATAAGTAATAACAAGCAACCACAGCATTACACAGATGCACATAAACACAAAGCCAGACACATTGGGGAAAGAAGTGGACAAGCCTTTGTGAGTCATCAGTTTTCAGCAACAGCATGATAAATATGGGCACTTCAACAGGAAGAGCTTTTGACACGCACACAAACACTGAACACGCAACAGCAAACTCGCAACAAATGCTATAATCTACATACACACATATTTTAATAAGTTTCAAACCACAGGACATGAAAGTCAAAACACCACATTATACAAAAGACCTGAAAGATGCACATTTTTAGAAAGACAGAAATTTTACAACGGGAAAACCACAATGTGACGTGGGCTACATAAGTCAAGAACCATATTTCCAGTGCTCTCTCTCTATATGTGTCACAGATGTGGAATTTAATCATTAAACTCTCTAAATGAATGTCTCAATGCATCACTAAAATAAATAAAAAAAACATTAGTAAAAGAACATTTTTTTTTAAATGTGCGCAAGCCCGATAGGTCTGAGTCGAGATAACAAACCAAAACAATTATTTCAATATTTTTCAGGTTTTTAACAATATTTAATATATATTTTGGTATTTGTGAATTTGCTCTGAAATGGCTTAAAAGTGGATTTTAATCACAACCAATAGGACCAGACCACGGTCCAAGTAGTAGTCAAAATGGTTAAGTTATTAACTTTTAGGGTTTGGATTTACTTTTTTTAATTATTTTTTGAAAGACGTCTCTTATTCTCACAAGGCTGCATTTATTTGATCAAAATACAGTACAAATAGTATTCATTTTAAAACATTTAAAATATATTAAAATAATAAAAAAGTTAAATATTAATTAATAAATATTGTTGCTCTTTTGTTGGTTTGATTGCTTCTACTGTATTGTCCTCATTTGTAAGTCCCTTTTGATAAAAGTATCTGCTAAATGATTCAATGTAAGTGTAAGGCAAATGTATAGTGCTTTCTATATCGAATATATATTTATAATGTAATTATGTGCTGACAACGCTGAATTTTAAGCATCATTACTAGTCTTTAGTGTCACATGGTCTTTCAGAAATAATTCTAATATGCTGATTAGGCGCTCAAGAAACATTTGCAATTATTATAAATGTTAAAAAAAGTTGTGATGCTTAATATTTTGGGCAAACTATCATACATTTTTTGCAGGATACTTTGATGAATAGAAAGTGCAAAAGAACAGCATTTACATTATAAATTTCTTTTTTTTATGCATCCCTGTTGAATAAAAAAAAAAATCTTACTGACTCCAAACTTTGGAATGTAAACAGATACACACCAGAAAAAAACTGCCAAAATGAACTGTTGGCAGATATACGCATTTAATTTTCTCTTCAAATGAAAAATATTGGCGATTCATCTTGCACTATGGGACATACAGAAAATCTGTGTCTATTTAAAATCTGTCTAGAATTTGCATGTCCCTTTTAGTGGCAAATCATGGCTCATAGTTCACTAAAGGCCATTTCAAATATTAATAAATAAGAATAAGCATATATCTAAAGAGATGGAGAGACAGTCAGGTTTTAAATCACCTTGGAGAATAAAAAAAAAGCAGACAGGGAGTTAACTGCAGGAGAAAAGTAAGAAAATGGTTAAAAGAGAGAAAGAAGAAAAGTATGAATGACAAACTGCTCAAGTTAGTTCATGCCCAAATTTTGCAGAATTAGTAATACTGGTAAAAACAG